ATTTAAGTCTGCTAATTAAACATGTCATTCCAACAAAGGAAGTCAGCTCATTAATTCAAAAACTTCGTTTTTTAAACAAAGGATTTTGATTTGTGTTTTAAAACACCTTCCCCAAACCTTTCCAGGCCCCGATTTCGATCAGAACTTCTACTCGGGCGGTCGGCCGGTCTTCCCATGATGGTTGGATGTAGATCACCCCTCCCCCTACCTCACTGGAACCTCACTTAGAATAGCCGTTACGTCACCTCTGTAAAAACCCTGATGGGGGTGGGGTTGATCCACGATCCACATGATCCACGATCCACATGGCGTAGAACTCTCATTTCATATCTACTTGCGTGTCCCTTATCGGTCACCGTACATTCTCAATTATCCATCAAGCAAGTGTTTCATGTTCTTGTGCCTTGCTCATTGTTTATCATCAATGTGTTCAAGATGTTACTAACTGTAGTCAGTGGAGTCATTCTAGCCTAGTAGTGTTTACGAATAGGAATGGCTCCGGCAAACAGGCTTGGGTCAAGATACTTCCCATCCCTATAATAAGGGGGGTGGTGCTATATATAGAGTTACTCTCATAGGAAGTCATTTTAATGTCACAAAAATGCGTTGATGGGATTTCTGTTTCTTTTACAGATTATCAATACTACGAATTGGGACAGCGGACTGACGTACGAGATGCAACGAATATCAGTCACACCAAACTGTACTAGTGAAGGTATGTCAGTTGAATTGAATTGTTTTACGAGGGCAGAGCGCATAATGCCGGATCGGATAGCTAGAGTCCTAACGTTGGCCCAATTTTAAGGTACATCCTTTTTCCTACGCGCACATACAATAGCACCGCATGTTCTTTAAATATGCATTGTTAACGCCAGACCTTTGCCGCCAAAACTCCAATTGTGGTACCCAATCCCTTGGGGAGGGGAGGGTGTTAGTAATGGCGTACCGTTAGCCATGGCTCACGGTGCCTTGCGGGTTGATACTTTTGATGATCGTAAAACTATTACTCTTTTCGGATAACGACAAAACAAATGACACCATTAATATCTATTTTTCTTGGTCTTTTTGAATTTAGTAGTTTTAGCCTTAGAATCCAAAATTATGGAAACTCGGGATCTGGATTTACTCCTTGGATTGGACTTTTCCCAAGTGGAGTGTGGGATCGAGATATAAAAAATACTTTAGAATTTCAACTTAAAATCAATAGACATTAATGAAAAATACGTTTTTTAATGAGAAGGAAATGGTACGCAGAGAGAATCTGTTTATCTATTCCACTTATTTTGCCATTTCTTTTCATCTTTATCAAACAAGAAATCAAACAAGATGAGTGCATTTTGACTTGTTTTTTTCCACTGGTTTTCATTATGTGGGACTTTATTTCTATCTCGAATAAACAAATATTAAAGATTTCCCTTCTGATCTCATTTTCAATTTTATTTCAATTGTGCTCCCTGTGCTTAAAACAATGGGAACTTAAGATGATTTACTTCTTCAACTAAGTCGAGGTTAAAGCTTAGAATGTACACTCTCTAATATTTTACATTTTCCATAATACTTACAAGTAAATTGTGATAAGAAGCCAACTGACCTATAACACTATGACGTCACAGCTTGTTTACATGGGCAAGAATGATAGGAATTTAGGCAAAATTTTCTTTCGTTTGGGATATTTAGTACAACATTTATCTGTTATCACCTTTCCCCATCTAATTAACCATTTTTTATTGTGATTTAATTCATTTTGCTGCTATTTTGACCCCTCTGGCGACGACCATGATCCTTAGCGTTAAAACAATAGATTGTTTTGATGTGACGTCATAGTGTTATAGGGCAATTATTGTTGTTAACTGTAGGTCAAAATGACCAGTTACAAACAGAGTATTTTTAATTCCTTTATTTGAGGTATCTAACTGAAGTGCTTGTTGAGAATAGGTAGCTAACTGATGATAAAACAGTGGATATTCCAACAATATACCTGTAAAAAGAATATTGAAAGGAGATTCAGCAATTTACTCATAAGGTAAGAGATTGAAGGTCATGTAAAATTGAGCTTACCACATTGCCTGTAGATAGGGATGATCCACATATCCTACTATTGGTGCTAGAAGAGTAGACCCTACAAGGCCAAGCTGAAGGACTGTGTTGGCCTGCAAAACAAATTACAAGGCAATTCCTTTTTTCCCATCCTAATTCCCACTCAATCACTTTTTTAAAAATAAAAAATATACATATATATATATATTGATTCTAAAGATACAGTGAACACTGAGGGGGGAAAGAGGGGAGAAAGAGGGGGGAAAGAGGGGGGAAAGGGGGTGGATGAGGGGAGTGGTGCTCTGTAGTCCTTAGAAGAACAGATGAATAAACCTCTTGTAGCACTGCAGAATGCAGCTCAATTTGGAGGTAAATAACCATAGGTTTCCAATTCTTAGGAGATCGAAATTCTTTCATTTTGTCCACCAAATTGAGCCTGCTTCGGCGTCACATGCAAGTGGTCTATATAAGCAATTGATGACAGTGTACCTTTCCTAGGATGTTAGGTCGTAGCTYTACTGTTGCTAGGTTAACATCGAAGTATCTTGAAATAGTTTTCTAGGAAATGAAAAATATGAATAAATGAGAAGTAAACTCATACTTCCCTGCTGCTATTTAGCTGCAGATCAATATTTAATATTGATTATAAATGAAAATGTTTACTTACAGGAGATGGCAGTGATTTGTATCTAAAGTAAAAGGCAGCGGCAATCAGAAGGACATCTCTACTGAGAATTAACACTGTCAAGGGAACTAAGAACACTTGGAATTAATGAGGTCATACTTGATGGCTAAAACAAGGTAACTTATAAATCTGGAAAACCTACTCAAATGATAATCGGTTTCAAAAGAAGGCAGCTAATAGTGGGTTATCACCAGTTACTTCATCTCTCCCTGCCGGCTATTTCACAATCCAATGGAAAATTACCATTAATCTAGTGCTGCTACTACTGTAGCGCCTTAATATGCAGCCCGTAAAGTCCTCCACTGATCTTGTAAAGCACCATTGAGCTCCTGGAAGTGTCACTATATAAATTCATCCCTTTATCTTTTTAACAGAGACAGCCCTATTTTGTTAAGAGTGCTTCTTCTACTTCACAAATTAGTGAATCCTCTGAAAATAGTAACTTACTGGGTAAAAGGTCAGCAGCTGTTAATGAGATTGTCAAAACACTCATTAGGATTTTGTCTGCAACAGGATCTAGTATGGTACCAAAGACGGACTTTTGATTTTTGAAGTTTCTAGCAATATAGCCATCAAGCTTAAAGGAAATTTAACAATAGAAACATTTAGAAAAAATTATTTGTTACAGTCAATGGTCCATAAAGTTTCTATATTATTATGATGAATATTAAGGAAATATATATTATTAAATTATTGGGACCATTGATCAATTGTGCACGATATATCTGTGGGTCAAGAAAATGGCACACCTGAACGAAAAGCTGTTCACTCATAATAGATATCAAAATGAATGTAACTTATCTATTTTTTATGCTTAAAAAAAAAACAATTTTTCGAACCATGTCTGTGATTCCTGCCACAACAAAAAGAGCAGCAGCAACAGTAAACTCTTCTGAAATAATAAAGTAACCAAGGAATGGAGCAGCCACTATCCTGAACGATGAGAGCACATTTGGAATGGTGAGAATACTTTCTCTCTGAAAAAAAAGGGATCAAGTGATGATTGCTGACGGCTTCAGTTGAGGATACAGGGTTTCAGCCAGGATTTTGCCTTGAGGGGCGGGGGGGGGNGGGGGGGGGGTAAATCATTTTAGTCAATTTCTTAGTGTGGGCATCGTTTAAGTTTTACATTCTTCACTTTAGCATTGATATTTGTGGACATTTAGACACTAAAATGAGGCTAACGCTGAGTTAATGAATCTGTAATCAAGTAACGCAGCAGTATTATACAAATTCGTGCAGTCCTGTCACGTGCGCACTGAACGTCTTACCATTTCTTTCACTTTTTCTAATTGTTCTTTCAATTTTCTCTTCCCAGTAGATATAGTGTCTTTTCCATTCAAGCATAAAGCAGATGTTGTTATGCATCTAGAACTAAAGATCTGACAATTCTTATGTGATTGAAGTTGATATATTCTCTCTAACAGACGATGTCCACTCTTCCTCGTACTCCAAGTTCTACAAGATGAAACCACACGGAAACCAGGCAAAACACCACCTCTATAACACTCCTTATCCTTTGAAAATACGCCAGCACATGACCCCAAACTAGCAGAAAACACAGAGATATTTCTGGCTTGCCTTAGTCGTATAGTTAGTCGCATATTTTTAGTTAATCTGAGTTTATACATTTGAGTTCTTGCAGCCGCCATATTGGACGCGTCGACTTGGAGAACTAGATCTAGTCTCGATCCAGTCTCTTTTTTATTTCACGTCCAAGATGGCGGGCAAACTGATCAAAGAAATTTTTTCCAAACCCATCTTAAAAAGAGCAGTAAAAACAGTCTTCCCCGACCCTATGGATAAATACCGCTTAGAGCTAATGCTATGGGATTTCAAAAAGCCAGAAACTACAGAAGAATGGGTAACAATTACTGATAAGCAGTTTGGTGGGCTGTCAAAAGCTGAGTTTGTTGCCAGCAAGTCGGGTAAAGCTCTTTTTCGAGGGAATCTTTCGACGAAGGTTCCTGAAGGAAGTGAAGCTAAACATAGTGGAATTTGCGCCATACGTTCTCAGCCTCGCGTGGTAAGTATTATTAGTGAGGTTTATTCGTGCAGTAAACTTTTATTCACAGTACAATGATATGCAAGGAGGGGATCCCTAGGGTGGGGGGAGGGGGGGGGGGTGGAGACAGGCATTATCAAGGTAGCTTTATACTTCCAAGGAAGTGGTCCAGAAATTATATAAAATTATAGTCTTTGGAAAACACATTATCCATCGGGAACAAATTAAATGAGGTAAAAGAGGGAAAATGGATGGTAAAAAGGAGCTAAAAATCATCGAATGAGAGAAGTTTACAAGTAATTATTAGTGCCTTGTTAATTAAAATTATATTTCTAGTTGTCATCTAAATCAAGCTCAACCCAGTCTAGACTAGCTACATTTTGAAATGCTTGGAATTGGCTCCTATCATATCGAATTCCATCCAAACAGACTGAGTTAGTGTAAATAGGAGCACTGGTGACGCACAGTTGGAAAAGTGCACAGCCTTAAGAGCTAGAGGTTCTTAGTTTGATCCACAGGATATTCATATCTGTCTTGAATTTTAAAGAGCACTGCATAGTCTGAGCTGAAATGCTAATTAATTTGAGACCCTGGAATGGGAAAATTGAGCAACCACTCTGGCTGATGTCTCAAAGTAAAAATACATTACCAAATCGCTCGAAAAACATGGGTCAAAATCGAATGGATTAGAATATCGAATAACATGGGTCAAAATCAAATGTATCAAGATATTGATTAAAACGGGTCAAAATCGAATGGAATAAAATATCAAATAAAGCGGGTCAAAATCGAGTAGATCAAAATATCAAATAAAATGGGTCAAAATCAAATGGATTGAAATATTGAATAAAATGGGTCAAAATCGAATGGATTAAAATATCGAATAAAACGGGTCAAAATCGAATGGATCAAAATATCGAATAACACGGGTCAAAATTGAATAGATGTGCAACCACCGTGTTAAACCTTGGCATAGTTAGCTGAACATACTCCTTGAAAATTCATTTTTGGTTCCTTATACACATCTCCTTGAATAGTCGTTGAATTTTAAGTCGTTACCTTGGCACGAACCCTGATTACGTTAATTAAACCTTTTTTGATTGACTGAGGCATAAAGAAAAAACATCTTTGTCTATTATAGTCATGTTATTTTGAAAATGGAAATAAACAGCAGAATCTTTGTTTTTCATGTTTTTAGGACTGGAAGGGGTCTGTGGTTCCTTTTGATACATCAGAATTTGATGGGATCCAGATGAAGTTCAAAGGAGATGGAAGAACATATGCCTTGAATATCCAACCTGATAGTGTTAGGTCAGATGATCTGCACCAGTCATTTTTATATACAAGGGGAGGACCATACTGGGAAACAGCTAGAGTAAGTAATAATGTAAGATCTACAATCTTCTGCAAAAATAATGTGCC